CACAGGCCCGCACTCATACACACACACAAAAGTGGACCAGGCATGGTGGCACACTTCTTTAATCCTATCACTGGGGAGGCAGGCGGTTCTGCAAATTCCAGGTTGACTGTCTACATAGTGAGTTCCAGGACAGCCTTGTCTCAAACAAAACCTAATAAAAAATAATTAAAATTAAAAAATAAAATATTTTCTTATGACATATATATATATATATATATATATATATATATATATATATATATATATATATAGTCTTTCTTAGAGACAAGTGGCTCTGTATACTGGGATGGTCTTGAACTCAGAGATCCACCTACCTCTTCCTTCCAAGGACTAGCATTAAAGGCATGTGCCACCAGCCTTGCTTTCTTAGGTTTAATACCAGTTCCTAAATTATGTGCATCTTCCTGATTCCTTGAAACTAGGAAGCGTAGGAGTGCTTTAGCTTTCTGACTATTGAGGTGGGGCTCTGAAGGTTAGTGCTCCAAACAAGAAGCCCCCGTGCGAGACTGGTCTTAGGAGCTCTTTAGGGTGAGACAGAATTAGAACATAGTGAAACAGGTTGGAATTTAATCTGTTGCTTGGAATGTAGAGTGTTATTTCCCTGTAAGCAGTGACATGTGACTATGAGGTCATTTTAGGATTTAGTATGCTCTTGGGGCTTTTATGAAACTTGGAAGTTCAATAATCCTCATGTTTTTTTTCTTTATGATTATGTTTTCTCTATTTATTTTGTTTTTTGGAGACAGGGTTTCTCTGTGTAACCCTGGCTGTCCTGGAACTCACTCTGTAGGCCAGGCTGGCCTGGAGCTTAGAGATCCATCTGTCTCTGCCTCTGCCTTTGCCTCCTGAGTGCTGGGATTAAAGGCATGCTCCACTATGGCCTTGCCTTGACTTGTTATTTTTTGTGTGTGTGGCATGTGCTTCTGTGCATGTATGTGCATAACAAGCATTCAGGAGAGACTATGGAAGACAGAAGAGGCTCTGAATCCCCTGGAATTATAGTTTCAGAAGACTGTGAGCCACCATGTGGGTATTGGGAGAACTTGGGCCTTCTGCAAGAAGAAATTTTTTGTTTTCAGAGATTTATTTATTTATTATTTATACAGCATTCTGCCTGCATTTGCAGGCAAAAAGAAGACACCAAATCTCATTATAGATGATTGTGAGCCACCATGTGGTTGCTGGGAATTGAACTCAGGACTTTTGGAAGAGCCAGTGCTCTTAACCTCTGAGCCATCTCTCCAGCCTGAGAATAAGTGTTCCTAACTGCTGAGCCCTCTCTCTGGTCCCTATTTTTACTTCCTGCTCTTGCAAAGAACCTGGGGTTAGCTCCCTGCTCCCACATGGTGCCTCACAACTATCTGTAACTCCAGTTTCAGGGTATGAATGTCGTCTTCTGACCTCCTTAGGCACCAGGCATGCATGCATTGCCCAGACATACAGGCAGCCAAAAACACTCATACACATCAACTATAAATAAATAAATAAATAAATAAATAAATAAATAAATAAATAAATAAACAAATAATCCCAGTTTGGGAAGCAGGACGCTCAAGAGTCCAAGGTTGTCAGTCAAACCTTTACTCACAGCACTCAGGAGGCAGAGGCAGACTGATCTTTCAGTTCGTGGCCAGCCTGGTCTACAGAGTGAGTACCAGGATAGCCAGGGCTATACAGAGAAACCCTGTCTCAAAAAGAGTCATCGTCTATAAAGTAAGCCTGTGTCACATGGGACCCTGTCTCAAAAAAGATCCTTATTTTTGTAAAGGAGGCTAAATCCATCCATAGAAGTGAAACGAGACACGGGAAGAAAATAGTTGTTTATGATGACCTTTAACTCCTGACTCTGTTGCCTCCACCCCCCAATGACTGGGACTACGCAAACATGGACCTGCAGTGCCCCCCCTCTGCCATGCAGTTTTTATAGCCAGATGTTGCTGATGACTTATTTAAAAGGAAATACTTTGGAAGCAGGGCAGTAGCTTAAAAGCATTGATCTCTGCTTTTGGTGAAGACACAGCTATGAAAAGGACAGACAGATGGATACTAAATTTGGCTTTACAAGTGATGAGTGGGATGCGTTTGATGAGAGGTTGGCAAGTGACAATTTAGCCAATACCCTCAGTGGCAGGGATTAAGATGTAATAGAGCAGAGAGTGGCCTGGAAAACAAAATAAACCAGCCTCGTCTACAGGGCAAGTTCCAGAACAGCTAGGGCTACACAGAGAAACCCTGTCTCAAAAACAAACAAACCCAAAAATACAAAACCAAGCTGGCTGTGGTAGCACATGTCCCAGCGCTCAGAAGGCAGAGGTGGCCTCTGTGAGGCTAGGGCTACACAGAGAAACCCTGTTTCAAAAACCAAAAACACACAACCCCCACACACGCACACAAAAAGAAAAGAAAATACCACAATTTCATAATGTGTGCCACCACACCCTGCTTACGATTCTTTTAAAAGAGCCAGGCCTTTATGGCACTGGTGAAGCAGAGGCAGAGGTAGGATTTCTGACTTCAAAGCCAGCCTGGTCCACATAGTGAGTTCCAGGCCAGCCTGAGCTACATATTGAGACCAGTCTTACAGCACACACACACACACACACACTCAAAACACTCAGGGAGACAGAGGCAGGAGGATCTCTGTGAGTTTGAGGCCAGCCTGGTCTACAGAGCGAGCTCCAGGACAGCCAAAGCTACACAGAGAAACTCTATATGGAAAAAGCAAAAAAAAAAAAAAAAAAATTATATCACTACATTATATAGTCCATCATTTTCACTTGATAACCAAGGAGTTACGAGAAAAGCAAGCAGTTGCTATGATCTTCATACTTCTCTTTTAATGCAGCAACTGTTCAGTTTTCCCTAGAGCCAAACTGCCTTTCCCTTAAGTGTCCAAGCTGTCATTTGTAATTTAGAGACTCAAGTTCATGCAGGTGGCATCTCCTCCCATAGTGGAGCTCAACGCCTGAGACATGGGCTCTCCCAAGATTTGTGAACACCATGTATTTTTTTAACATTTATTTATTTATTATTTATTTTCAAGACAGTGTTTTTCTGTATATCTCTGGCTGTCCTGGAACTCACTTAGCAGACCAGTCTGTCTTTGCCTCAGGGGTTTGCCTCCAGAGTGCCGGGATTAAAGAGGGTGTGCCACTGTGCCCGGTTTACACTTACTTCACGCGAGCATGGATGTGCATAGGTGCCTGTACGCATGAACGAAAGTGTGGGTGAAGGTCAGAGAACAATCTAAGGGAGGCGGTGCTCAGTTCTCGCGGTAATTACTCTTCACTGCTCAAGGGATGTTGACAGGCTGGTACACACACATAATTTCAACACATGGGCAGCAGAGACAGGAGGAAAAGATTCCAGGCTAGACACGAAGTCTCCTTTATGCTACTGCGGTTAACACAGACATGGGTGATCAGACTTCTGGAGAAAATGGAATTCTGGTTTTCTGTGAAAGCCTAGTGGGAGGATAGTTAAGCAAGACTCCTGAAAACACTAACTTCCAATTGCCTGAAAGAAAATGTTGAGTTTTATGGAGTTTTGTGGAAATACCAAGGCTACAAAGGACAGGAGAAATCAACTTTTAGGGGTCAGGTTTGACATGAGAACAGGTCACCCATCAGCTGCCCACATGCCTTTACCTAAGGCTTTGCCTATTACGATCTTTAAACAGTCCTCCGAGTTCTCCAAGTGTTGCCTGCATTTGTTGCAGGGATAAATTTACCCAGACAGGTGGAGGAGTCATGACTTAAGAGTTAGAAACAGCTGCAGAGTCTCCAGGGCCTCCGATAGACGAAGCCATTCCTTCACCAGGCGTTAGCCAACTTTAAAACCGCCACTAAGGGCGAACCATCACTTGGGTCTATTCATGTGCACCCATCAGAGCTTAAACAGTAATATTAAAGTGTTTGTTTGTTTTAAGTTTTTTTTTTTTTTTTTTTTTATAGGCTCTCTCTGTGTAGTCCTGGCTGTCCTGGAACTTGATTTATGTAAACCAGGCTGGTCTCAAACTCCCGGAGATCCTCCTACCTCTGCTTCCTCAGTGCTGAGATTAAAGGTGGCTCCTGGCTAAAAGACTATAGTAAAACGAATTCCATTCTTTTCTGGTAGTGTTGGTACAGGCCTTTAACCGCAGCACTCTGGAGGTAGAGACATGCAGATCTCTGTGAATTCCAGGCCAGCCTCGTCTGCTTAAGTTCCAGGACAGCCACGGCTACACAGATAACATTCAAAGCTAAAACGAAGTCTGCATAGTTTCAGCACTCCTTTTATTGCTGGATCTTTGAGATTGCTTTGTTAGGGACTCACAATAGGTCTTAAAAAAAAAAAAATCAGTCATAGCAGTAATTCTCAACCCGTAAGAAAAACGACTGTCCTAAACCGGGTGCTGGTGGCAGCGGCGCACGCCTTTGATCCCAGCATTCGGGAGGCAGAGGCAGGCGGATCTCTGTGTTAACCACAGAGTTTGAGGCCAGCCTGGTCTACAAAGCGAGTCCTAGTGAAAGATCTCATCTTTCTCCAGAAGGGTGGACAGCTGATGGCCTATTTGGGGGACACGTCAAGCGTCAAGCACTTCTCCTTCTGAGCCACCTTGACAGCTTCTCAAGTCACTTGGTTTTTTTTTTCAAGTATGGAACGCTTCACGAATTTGCGTGTCATTCTTGCGCAGGGTTCAGGCTAATCCTCTCTGTATTGTTCCAGTTTTTTAGTGCATGTGCTGCCGAAGCGAGCACCTCAAATAACTTTTTAAAGTGACAGCGATCACTTGTGGGGAGCTCCGCCGGATTGTCGAGGTGGGGGAGGGGCGACCCTAGCGGCCAGGCCGTGTTCAGGAAGGGGGCGGGGCTCAGGCTGAGCCGCGGCCTGCGCAGCCGGTCCTGAGGCCGAGCGGTGACTAGCACTGTAGACAACCAATAGAAACTAAGAGATCCTTTTAAATCGCCCAATGGCGGCCTGCGGAGGGTGGGTCCTAAAAGCCCTATAAAAACAGACTCCGCGGAATCCCGCGGCGGCAGAGGCTCTAGGAGCGTGGCTGGTCGACCTCGCGGAGCTGTCTGCGCCGGTTGTTCCCAGTCCCCTCAGCGGTCTCTCTGCGCCACCCTACCTCTCCCCTTGGCGCCATGACCACTACCACTACCTTCAAGGGTGTGGACCCCAACAGCAGGAACAGCTCCCGGTAAGGCGGCGGGGCCGGGCTCGAGCCCTCCAGGGCTTGTGGGAGCCTTGGGGCGTTGGCGGTAACGGGCCGGGGGCGCGGGGCTCGCGCCCCGGAGGGTGGCAGGGCAGAGGAGTGGGCGCCGCTTTGTGTGGCGGGACTGCCTCGGCTGTGGCCCCGCCCCAGTCGGCCGGCTCTATTCTTTTCTCCCACGGAGCGGCGGCTGGGGGGACCGTGGGTGGCGGCCCTTAACGGTGCGGCAGGTTGGAGCCCGTGAGAGTGTGCGGGAGGATCGGCTTTCGGTCGTCCGCGGCGACACTGGTCGTGTCCAGGATGGGGGCTTGGTCTCCGAGAAGCCCAGGGAGCCTGCATGGCCCTGGTCCTGGGCCCATTGTCCCACCCGCGGGCCACGCGCTCCTGCTTCTGGCCTCGGGCGTGTGCTGGCCCCGGCCTTGGGCGCAGCGAGCAAATCTGAGCTCTGATCCTGCGCGTCTGCGGGCTCGTGCCCTCGCGGTGGCCCGCGGGGTGCCGGGGTCTGCGCAGCAGGTGCACCTCTGGTAGGGCGGGGCTGGTCATCCCGTGCCTCCACTTGCAACCCCGGATCGAGTCCTCTTCTGCGAGTGCCTCCCCGCGCCTAACAAAGGAGAGACCCGGCCTCCTCCCCCTCCCCACGCTCACCTCCGAGTGCGCGGGGCCGCGAGCCGGCTCGAGTGGGTTTTCTGCGCTCAGACCCTCGGACCTCAGTCCTTCCACGCCACCTTCTTCACTTCTCCCATTGACTTGGGCAGAATGAGTTCACCCCAGCGCAGGCTTCCCTTGGAGGAGGAGGTTGCCTGTGCTTGGGCGGGGCCAGAGAGCCATCCATTGTCTCTCCATTAGTATGTAGAAGCTTTCTAAAAGCTGGAGACCTTGCTTGCCACCAGTCAACTGCATTTTGAAGAGGAGCGGGATGTTTGGACTGGGACCCTCTTCCTATCCCTCACTTAACTTGGTGGGAGGTTTTGGGTTCTGTGGAGGGAGTCCACATCTTCTCAGCTGATGGCATACAGTCCCTTCAGTCCATTCAGATGCCTCGAGCATCTCTCCGATCTTCCTAACGGCTTGGCTCCCTTGTTCTCTGGCCGTCTATTCCCCATTGATGCTGACCCGCAGTTGGGTATGGCCAAGCCTTGGGGTCCTGGCCAAGTGGCACAAAGGGAGCCATTTTGTGGGGCTAAGAAGACAGCCGTGGAATAGCAGTATCTCACGGGGGTTTGACAAGTCGCCAACAAAAAGCCGCCTCGGAGGAAGCACTGGGAGGAACAGGCTGTGTCACTCACTGCTTTCAGTTTCACGAAGTAGTGAAAGAATGGTGAGATGGAAGTGGGCTAAAGGAGCGATTACAGGGCGGGGCAGAACTTGAGAGTGTAGACTTAGGAGACATGGTCACTCCCTCTTGCTGTCATCCTTCAAATGAGGCAATTTGTTCCAGAGGACACAGGGACAGACTGAGCCCTGGGGTTTTGTTTCCTGTGATAAGGCTAACTTTCTGCTGGTCCGACTTTGGTTACTGGTGTGATAATGTGTAATTTGGGTTTTATCTTTTGGGGTTCAAGCTCAGCTCAAGGCTGTGCAAAGCATTTCAGAGCCCGGGTTCTTTGCAAGTATGTTTGACAGGTGAGCAAATAAGTGCAGGGTGTTTCCGGCCACCTTGTCTGTCATCACCTGCCCTCCAGCGTTGATGCTCATGTTCTGCCCCATTCTCCTTACTTCCTCAGAATGTGTTTCTTGCTCTGCAACCTCAGTGATGAAGGTGCTGTGGTAGAGTGATAGGGACTTGGGATTGGAAGAAAGGAGTTATTTTTTAAATTGCTGTCTGTGGTGTAACATTTTTGGGTCTTAACTTGGCAATCCTGAAGCAGTTACCATATATGTGGTTCAAAAAGAAGGAGTCAAAACCAAAGCTCAAGTACTTTGTCTTGCAAGCAAATCCTTTGTTTGGGAACCGCTCTATTTCAGATGGTCTCTATAACACTGACGTCATCGGGGAGGTAGTACCTGCTATGGAAGGACCAGTAAAAGTTGGACTAGACAGAGGTTTAACGATTTTGAAGCTGACTGGGTGCTAGTGCTCCCCTGCCCTTGTTTTTTCATGACCTAAAAATATTTACAAGTCCACTATGGTTCTGAAGGATTTCATGAGGTTTTAATTACACTTAGTGAAGAAAGCCTCCCTCCTCCCTGGGGAAGGAGGAAGGACAAAGAGGCACATTGGGTTTGATTCTAATATTTCAGTTGTCTTTGGTCATTTGAGGTAAAAAATTAGAACAGTCTTACCCATTAAGGACCTGTAGGGATGGAGCTGGGATGGTTTAGCCTGTACAAGGTCCACAACCAAGGCAAGACCCTAGGTTCCATCCTCAGCAGCTCCCCACTTCCCTACCCAGAAAAATCACCCCAAAATCTATCTATACCTTTTAATTACCTGGATGTGGAGTGTAACTCTGTTATCCCAATACTAGGGAGGCAAAAGTGGGAGGGTGGCTTCCAAGCTCCAGGCCAGCTACAGCTATAGCTATGAAGCTATCCCGCTTCACAAATTTTTTTAATTTAATGTATGATTATCATCTTTATAAACTATATGCCTTAACACATTTATCTTGACTTATATAATTAATTTATTCTGGGTATGTTTTAATATCTGAGGCTTAAGAAATAATTGCTATTTATTTTTTTGGCGTAGGATCTCAACCCTATGGCTTTATACTGGCCTGGACTCAGTATGTAGACCAGGTTAGCCTCCAACTTGTGATCTCCTTCAGTCTCTTGAGTACTGAGATTAAAAGCTTGCAGACATAGTTTTAGATGTTTACTTTTTTTTTACACAATTTGTTTTTATTTTGTGTGTTGGTGTTTTCCTGCATGCATATCTGTGGTGTTAAATCTTGGAGTTACAGACAGTTGTGAGCTGCCATGTGGGTGCTGAGCCTTCTCTCCAGCCTTTTTTTTTTTTTTTTTTTGAGACAGCATCTCACTGTATGGCCTCAGTTGCCGGGCTGGAACTCAGTATGTAGGACTGGCTGGCCTCAATCTCACGGAGATCTACTTGCCTCTGCCTCTGGTATACTGGTATTTAGGAGTGGCTATCCAGCTGAATATTTATTTTCCATGTTTGTCTCTAGGTTTTTTTGTTTCCTGGTCCTGGACTATTTCTTCTATAGGTCTCTGCTTTCTCCCTAGAATGTGACATTAGCCTCTCAGTCAGTAAAATGCCATGCTCAGGGCTGGAGAGGTTTAGGAATATGTGTGTTTGAGTGTTGCTATGTGTACATGAGTCAGGTACCTGTGGTGGGCAGAGGCATCCAGTCCCCTGGAGTTACAGGAGGTTATGAGCCACACAGTGTGGGTCCTAGCATCTGAACTGTGGTCCTTTGCAAGAGCAGCAAATACTCTTTTAACTGCTGAGCCATCTCTACTTCCTAGTTGATGTCATTGTGTGGCCTCCATTTTTTTAAAACTATCGATTATATTCATTTTTATTTTATGTGTATGAGTGTTTTTATGAAAGTGTATGTATGGGTATCACATATGTGCTTGGTCTCCACAGAGGCCAGATCCCTTAAAACTGGAGTTACAGATGGTTGTGAGCCACCATGTCAGCACTGGGAATTGAATCTGAGTCCTTTGGAAGAGCAGCTGGCCAGTGTTCTTAACCTCTGAGCCATCTCTTCAGCCCTTTTTCTTGTTAAAAAAAAAAAAAAAAAGATTTATTATGTGTTTGTTGGAGGGGTGCCTGAGGAGTCTAGAAAGTGTGGGATCCTCTGGAGAGTTACAGATGTTACAGATGGCTGTGAGCTGCCTGACATGGGTGTAGGAGAAGCAAGCTCTCTCCAGGCCTGAGCACTGCATCCTACTAAGACCCTAATGTCACATTCTAGGGAGAAGGCACAGAGGCCTACAAAGAAATAGTCCAGGGTTAGGAAACAAGAAAACCTTAAAGTAACTTCGTGGGCTCCTCCCTGAAGACAAACATGGCATTGTTTGATTGCCTGTTGATGCACTGGAGCACTTGCCGCAGTCTGCCAGGCCAGAGGACTTCAGTGCTGTCAGTCAGTGAAAGCTGGCAGTTGCTAGGAGCCTCCAGAGTCTACTTCTGCTTTGCTGGCAAGAAGCTGAACCACAGAGCAGAACCAAAGCCCAGCACTGCCGGCCAGCCTCATTGGTATCGGGCTCTTCAGGACCCCTAAACTATCTATGGACAGCTTTTGTATTGCTAAGTGTTGTGGAAAAGAAGATTGCGTGACTGAGGAAATGCTGACAGTAAAGTGGCAGTGTCCATAAGTCAGGTTTGTTGCAGACAGCAACCTTTATCCTGTGCTGCATGGCTTCCTCTGTGCTGTGTGCTGCAGGGCAATGAAGATTCAGGAAGACATCCGGGAGTACTTGTGGCTTCCCTCCCCAGGAGCAGGAGCAGTAATCTGCTGGTGCTCTCTGTGTTCTAGCTGTGCTCCTGAGCTCACGAAGGAAGCAGGGGTAGGGTGTGGGAATGGGGTTTCAGAGATTGGCTGAAGGTTAAATGACACTGAAAGCAAGGGTGGAGCATGCTTGAGCCTGAGGAGATAGACCAGGAAAGGCACCGAGTGGAGACGGCCTGCAAAGTGAAAGAAGCGGAGAGGAAGGTGGCTGGGGCGTCTTGGTTTTTGTTTGAGAAGCAGTCACATTACCAGAGGGCCTGGACAAGGCAGAGGGCAGGTTTCACTGCTTTCTGTAGACATGGGCAGTGTACAAGTACTAAGGCCAGGTCCAGCCTGAAGGAGCTGAGGAGCCAGGATTTCTATCTAGGGATCCAGTGTGGACAGCAGGGAAAGTGGTGTTGTGAAAAGAAACTGGTGTCTGTTTGATGGCACACATCTGTAACCCCAGCACTCAGGAGGCTGAGAAAGTAGGATAGCAGTTTCTATGCTAGCTGAGGCTGCATGGTAAGATCCTCTGTAGCGAGGAAAATTACTTAATTCTCACTCTGTAGTTCAACCTTTACTGTA